CATCCTGAATGTTTAATTTTTCAATTTTCAATCTATATAGAGTGATGATGATCTGGATATTGATTCAAAATATAGATTATGTGGTATCAACGTGTTCGTAACAACAAAATACCTCTTTCAGATATGGTAATAAGTCACACTTGTTCCATTGGAAAAATTGAGTTAACATCATTATTACGATATTGTAAATTTTGAAGGAACCTGTACAAATGGAAAGTAAAACTTCATCGAAACTATTTTCCCTCTAGAATTGAAATTGGAAAATGGAAAATTCATCATGATATGAATCAAAAAGTTGCAATTGGGCCGTCGTTATACTCATGCACAAGGTTATTCTCTATCGAAATAAGTGATCACATACCAGTTGTGCCTTTTGAAATAAGAAAATATGTGTCATTTCCGGACGAATCGAAAGTGACAAAAAACAATTGAATACGTCAAATAATGCATATATATGTACTACACTTGCACACCGAATGTCATTTGTTAATCTATTTAAATAAAAGAGTTATAAGGGGGGAGCCACTTTTGAGAAACACCCAGTATATCTGTGCCGTGGATTCGGATCAGATCGAGGTAGCACAGCTTGGTTCTTGAGATCCTCCATCAAATTAGTATGGGATGGCATAGTTCTTATCTCGTTATCAAATCGTGAAATTGAGTTCAAATCACCGCACAGAAAAGTGGCATTTTTCAATCATTCTGCCCAGGATAGTGATTGGCATAGGTGCCGTTCGATAAAGTACAATGATTTTACATGCTTTTGTGACATAATATGTTATTTAGTTATCAGATGCCTCTTGAAATTCGTAGCCGGCATTATTCGCCGCTCTTTTGAAAGGATCTGCGTTGCACTCATACAATTGTTATTATTTCGAATTATAGAGTTTGCGAAGTGACACCGAAAACAGACAATTTCAAGATGAAAATTCGGTCAAAGTTATTGAGGAATTTGTATATCCTGAATCAGCAACATTTTTATAGGGCATGCTGGGCTACATCTTCATATTTTTGGTGTTTACTCTATGTAGTTCAGAGATTGCCCATTCCTAATGAATCACCCTGTATGTCAGAAGGGCGCTAGCAGTGAGCTCGAAGACCGTAATTGACAGTGATAGATGTTGCTATTCCGGAAGTTTTGTTTGAAAGAAATGGAATCAAGTTGATTTAAATAAACGGCGTTGATAGCCTGAACGAAATGGATAGAAGTTGGGCATTGTTCACGAGCAGTGTTCCAAAATATCATGGAATTTATGTTGATGGAGTTTGAAATTGAATTCCAGCCAATGACTTTGTATGATTCTAAACTTGAACATTCGTCATAACCTGTTAACAACCATATGTACCTAGCTTTCTACTTGCTGTGTCTGCAAATGCTTTCAATTTTTTTGGAGAGGTAAAATATATTATTGAACATTGCCAAATACAGAATAAACAGTTTCAAGTCATAGATTGTATTCGTACTTTTTTCTAGATTTCTGGGACTGGGAATTTCTTTCTTAGTCTTTATGAATGTGTCCCTGAAATGTCTATAGAAAATATTAGCGCACATTTACCTCTTATAGGTCAGAACATATACACGATAAACTCACCTTAGTCCGAAACAGGTGAATGGACTAATTTTTTTATTTCTTAAATAGAATTATCACTCAGATACCCTTCGATTTCATATTTTCCCAGAATTCTTTTGTCAATTTTGCGGTGCCAAGATCATCAATAATGCTACGGAAATTTTCAAACTGTCACAAATTTACCGCAAGTAAATCCTGACATCACGATTTCGTAAGTAGTGGCTGACCATAGCACAGTTGCCACATGTAGACATACGATTGGGAACTTCAGAAATGAAGTTCTTCAATAATCCATAAACTCCCAATTATTAATTGGTAATATTCCTAATAAGCATTGAAAATCAATTGTCTAAAAATGTTCCCTCATGTGTTGTGGCTTATCGCTTATAATATACAGTCTGTCCAAGATAAGGTTGAACAGCATGGGGATCTCGGAAACGGTAGGAGATACGAAGTCGCTTAAATGGGGAAAAAGTTGCGCATTCGGTGGCTCATATCAAGAGCCTTTGAACATTTTTGAAATTATTTTTAGTTTTTGAGATATATCGAAAAAAGTGAATTTTTGGAATTTATATTTTATTTTTTTTCTCCGTTATTATCAGAGATACAGAAAAACTGAGAATACTTTTTCTTTGCAACTTTTGATGAGGTTTAACGTGGTGATACCAATTTTTCCATGCGACGTTTCGTATTCGTGGAACCATCATCAACTTTTGTTTTTTGAATACGGTCTTGATAATTTTTTCACAGATTCTGAAAGGTTTATTCATTCTGAATTCAACAATGTACTATACAAGGTGATTCGAATGTGTTTCGACCTATTTCTATCCATCATCAATGTTCTTTCGAACTTCCAAAAGAAAAAAGCCATCAGTTCCACTTATTTCTGATCATTAAGTGTCAAACTTGATGGATTAGTTATGCAATACTGAAAAGTGAATAAAAAATATTTCACTACATCATTCGATCAATGCAGCGTTTGAAATTGTTGATGAATTCTTACACGAATTACTTTAGCAACTTAACTTTGACAATACCTACAGAGACATTCATAACAAATGTTCAAAATGATAACCATTATTTTCTGAACAAAGATATCCTCTTCTCACAGTTGCTTCTAAGACATTGCGAAGCAGTTCTGGGGTTATTCTATTGAATTCTTCGAAGACACTGTCCCTTAGTTCTTCTTCATCATCAAAGTTATTTGCGTGTACAAAGTTCGATATATCCCCTAAGAAAAAATCCAGCTGTGTCAAATCAGGCGACCGCGCCGGCCAAGGGATAAAAACGCACGGACTTCTCTGGAATTATGTACCGGAGCGCCATCTTGTTGAAACCAACAGTTCTGAACTTCCGCAATCGGTAAATCATCCAGAGCTTCCTCAAGATGATTCTCAAGCGAATTTCTATAACGTTCGGAAGTCTGTGTTTCATGGTAAATAGAAGGAACAATAATTCGTGTAACAAATATTGCAACCCACATATTAAAGCCGAAACGGTGTTGGTGTCTCGCTGTAATGTATGAATGTTCATTTTCTCGTGAACAATAATGTGTATTTTTTCTATCGAAGCTACCATGATTAGTGACCATGCTTTCATCAGTCCAGATGATTGTTCGAAAGAAATCTGCAAAATTTTAACATTTCCTGGTATACCACTCACAGAATGTCTTGCGCCTTTCGTCATCGCCTGGTTTTAGCGCTTGACATATTCTGAATTTGTATGGATGGAATTTTTGTTTCCGCAAAATGAAATGGGTTGTTGATTGAAACCAGTTGATGAGGTATTAGTGTGTTGACTAATTTTCCTTCAAAATAAGTGGAACTGATGGCATTTTTCCTTTGGAGTTTCGAAAAAACATTGATGATGACCAAAAATAGGTCGAAACACAAATGAACCACCTTGTATAATACATGGTTGAATTCAGAATAAAAAAAACCTTTTAGAATCTGTGAGAAAATTATCAGGACCGTATTTAAAAAACAAAAGTTGATGATGGTTCCACGAATACGAAACGTCGCATGAAAAAATCGGTATCACCACGTTGACCGTCATCAAAAGTTGCTATGGAGAAGTATTCTCAGTTTTGCTGTATCTCTAATAATGACGGAGAAAAAAAATAAAATATAAATTCCAAAAATTCACTTTTTTCGATATAACTCAAAAATTAAAAATAATTTTCAAAATTTTTGAAGGCTCTTGATATGAGCCTCCGAATGCGCAACTTTTTCCCCATTCAACCGATTTCGTATCTCTTACCGTTTTCGAGATCCCCATGCTGTTCAACCTTATCTTGGACAGACTGTATTTGTGCAAATCACAATTATATTAATTCACACTAGAGGACATTTGAACCGGTAAACGCTTGGGTAAACGTGACAACACGGCGCACGACTTGTGGGCGTGGTCTTGTCAGTTCTCAGCATTCAGCACAATGTTGCCAAGTCTACAACATTCATTAAGGAGTATAAAAAATATTTGGGCAAGCTGGTTGCTCGAAAAGATCAAGAATCAATTTTAATATCATGGGTTCCTCTTATTATGTCTCGTTCATATTTTTGATAACTTGAATAAAATTGGTGACGTGCTTCATGAGTAGAAATGGATGATTATCTGGCCAATAACGAAACAGCATAAATACTGACGTCACCATTCATTCGACGTATCGTGGACATCGCCAAATAGCGGTCATGACGGTACGAGATGAGCTCTGGAATTTAACAATTTCGAACAACGCATAGACTCATTATTTACATAAAAAAGGCGTGGGAAGTGTTTCAAAGATTCATTTAGGTTCCTATAACGACACAGTGGAGTAATTGAATGCCAATAATTCAATATTAGTCCACTCGCACATTGCTTCGTTTCCGAGATGTTTACATGTTGGTAAAAGAAAAAGAATGGAATTCGAATCATTCAAAATTCATGAACATTATTCAATGAATTAAGTACTCACTTCAAAAATAGAAAACCTGGGGTTTTTAGGATGCTAAACCTGAATACGGACACCTTTTCACCGTGACTATACTGACTATATAGAGGACGCTTACCAATGCACTCATCATGAACGGAAAAATTCAACCGCCTTAGAATAATAATTATTGCGGAACCAATCTTTATGTCTTGACTTGAACACCCTGTATTCAGATAACTGAGCACTTGAAGGGTTGTTATCAAATAACCCATGAATTCAGCAACACCCTGTATATAAATAATGTTCTCTGTTGTACACCCGACCTCCTGACAATCGACCTTGAGGATTTTCTTCAGCCCGTGGGTATTCTGTGTAGGCTTTGTAACTGACTCCATACGCCACTTTTTGAGCAGCACTGTTATTTAAAGTGCAACAGTAAATAAACCCCATTATACTCCCCAGGATACCACGAAGCAACAAAGCTGATGCACTCATGATTGTATTTCATTGCAGAGATGAAGACTCAAAAAGTAACGAAATCCTCCAAATTCACGCAAGCCAGTCCGAATGACAACGAATACCAGAACATAGGTCTGACCGTACTGCCAGTGTCGCCATCTGATGAGGGCAATCAGAATGTGGAGAGAAATCCGTATCCTGGAAGTCACTGCCATAATAACAGTTCAGAATTACTCTTGAGGAGCGACTTCGAATACAAGACCCAAGAAAATATGCACGAAATACGAAGGTAATGATAAAGTAGTGGAATAGATAGATAGATAGATAAATACTGTCTGTATAAAATAAAAATATGAATATTATTTCAATATACGTGTAGCACGGACAAATCAGATGATTTGCCCCAAAATGTCACTGCGTTTGAAAAATTCAAACATCACCTGGATCTGCATCTGGGCATTGGCCAGAAAAGTAGTTGTTTTTCGTCCATGATTCACCATTATTGTTGTTCTTTTTGTTTTCATTCAACATTTTCATTCGACTTTGAGCATTTTGGGCTATATCGTATATACAGGGTGTTTCAGACTTAAATGTACATACGATACTGGCAGATAGAGGACAAGTTGACGGTTTCAAATCACCCCCATTGATATGTTTATCGTCTTTTATAACTTAGATACAGGACGTTATCTTGATCTTGGCAAAATCTTCATCTGGTCATAATTTTTGAACCACGTTGTATAATCTATCCATACTTGGTAGAAATATTTCACTTATATTGCACATCAAACCTAAATAAAAATTGAGATCAGAATCCAGGTCCGTCTTAAGGAAAACAGAAAACTTGTTTATTTTAAAAACAACACTCTGTATGGCAAAATTTTGTGGATCTGTTTTGATATTTGGAAAGAGCAGGAAAAAAATGCATGTAGTGACCTACTTATAACAAGCGCGCATCCAATTAGACAGATAGTTCATTATTATGTTTTGAAATATTCACCCCATTTCGAGGAAATTTTATTGAACTGTTTTTCAAAATCCAATTCTGATACAAAAAAATAATTGTCTTCAAAGTTGATCGTCATTAAAAATAAATTAGGTGAACAATTGATAGATTCACCGCAGCTCATGAATCAATAGTAAAGAATAAAACAAGCCCTCAAAAATTTCCAAAATCACAGACGTTATTCTGTCAAACGAACAGATTTATCTATTTCACACCACTGATGTTGAACTTCGAAGGACGTTATTATTTTGTGAAATAATTGGATTTTGAATTACGAGTTCAATAAAAATCACTCAAAATGGAGCCGAGTATATCAGTATTGCCAAAATCAAGATATCATCCTGTATCTCAGTTATAAAAAACGGTAGACACATCGAAGGGGGGTAATTTGGAACCATCACAGTGTCCCCTATCTACAGGTATCGTATGTACATTTAAATCTGAAACACCCTGTATAGTTGAAAATTAGGTATATTATTTTCCAATCACTACAGATATAATTCAACATTCTGTAGTATTAGCTAGCACAATATTTGTTTTCTGTAAGATATTTTATGAATAATTTTCATATTTATAAATAAACTCATACAGTGTCATTCATAAAGTTGTCATCATATGAAAAACACTTGTAATAATAATTCATTCGGAAATTCGACAGAGGCATTGAGTTTTGCCTCAAGAAAAATGAAAAATGGCCTACTTGGTCGAGGTCACGTGGAATTCGCTACATGTCAGGAGTTACATTATTGATTCAGATTCATCGCTGGAAATAGGCTGATTTATTCGAATTTCAAAAAAGTGAACAAACAAAAGCTGTTTATATCCCAATATCACACATATGACTCGAATTTCAACGTTCTTTCGCAACTTTCAGTAACTGATAATTTTCCAATTTGTACGAGTCAGTGATATACAGGGTGTTATAGTGAATAAGTGCGACAAACCCCAGGGGGTGAATCCTCTTTTTTCAATCATTACTCAAATGTCTTTCTACCAATTTCGATAATACTTGGTGGTTTTGTTCAATGTATCATGGAGCTCCTATATTGATGTGACCAAATTCAAAATAATATTTCCAGTAGAGTCACGTGGGCGCCACTGGTTTTCCTGACTTTCATATTCTCATCAGATTGAACAATTGAAATATCAACTTTCATATCCTCTGTAATGTTTTCAATCTCGCTTGGTATTTGAGGAAACGATGGGAATTCGTTTTGACTCCAAATTTTAATGTAGGTGCTCTCGAAACATTCGTTGAGATTACTTAATAACCTGAATGAGAATCATTTTGAAATTTTGGGACTTCGTCAGTCTCCCACCATATTGAATATTGTCCCCTGGAGAGCTTATGAATGGGCTTTTTGAATAAAAACAATTAATACTTCCAACTTCAACATCCTGTACCTATATCAAAAACGAAGCAAGTTAGGACACATGTTTATGTAACTTCCTGAGATATCACAAGGAATCACCCCTGAAGTATGTCACACTTATTCACTAATACCCTATTTATATTAATATAGGGGTAGGCATTTTCAGTAGACAACCCTGTTACATATAAGTGATTAACAATCAATCGAGGAATATTCCACAACCATACATATAATATAAGTTATCGATGGAACGATGAAGCCTTGGCACAACATTTCCAATTGTGTATTCCACCTCGTTTCAGCAACAAATTCAACCTGACAACCATAAGCAAGAATCCCAACAAGCTTCTCCATTCCAGATACAGTCCAGAGCGAAACGCCAATCGGCCTCAGCAGCAGCAACAGCAGCAGCAACGCGGCCACGACCTCGAGCTGTGCAACTGCATCACTCCCATCTACACGGGGCCAAAAACCCGGGGCGTAGGACTAGTCCTCCACCGGTCCTTCGCTTCCCTGCCCAAGCTCGAGAACGCCAATCTCGGCCAGGACGACAAGGCGGGGAAGTCCGGCAGGAATCCTGGCCAGGATGACAAGGCGGGGAAGTCCGGCAGGCCGAGACACACGTTCGCGTGCGAGCAGAACAGGAGGGTTTTGCGGGACGAGGCGATTATGCGGCGGATGCAGGGCCCAGAGATTATTAATATACACCAGGGGGGCTTCGAGGATTGTGAAGTGGGGTTCAAGTGCAAGGATCACGAGTTCAGGAGGGGGCACAGTGTCAGGACTGCGGGAACGAGGTGAGCATGTCTTTGGGTTATCATGTTCTTTCATGGTATTACTTTGTTTCATTGAGAGCGATCCAAGAGTGATAGGTCATCACCTATGCAAGAAGGTTCAGTTTTAACCTTCCATCTTCTCCTTCCATCTTCTGGTAAAAAATTGACGAAAATATACTCTTGGCAGGAACAGCAGGTTTATCCCAAAAGGTTGAAAATACTAAAACAAACTAGATCACTGTCACAAAGTGTTCCTTTTTCCTCAGAGCTTTGTACAGTGTACATATTTGGCAATCATATGAATCTCTAACAAGATCGGTATCTAGTTTCACAACTGTTTCACCACTGACCTAACCGATTTTCTGAACCCAGATAGCACAAATTCCTTTTGAGGCCCTTCTGAGGCGTTCACAATCATGTCCTCAGGACGTCGAGAGCGAGCCTGAGGACATTCTCAAGACGTCCTCCTGTTACCACTCTCTACATACTAATAACGTCTCAGAACATCCCTATAAAATCTTTTGAGACAACCTCAGGACATCATGGTAACAACTTGAGGCGGTTTTTGATGATGTTTCAAGGAGGTTCAAGATTTATGGGAGAATATTATTCGTATACAGAATGAGTCACTATAGTGTGTTCTCCTCCGATATTAGCCAAACCGTCAGATATATAAAATGAAAATTCAAGTACAACAGTAATAGGGTTTCATAAGAACAATCACCTAAAGTTGTTTTCATATCTATAGGGTGTTCGAATTCCAAGATATCGGTTGATGATTGTTTTTTTTCAATGGAACACCTTGTATATTATTGCATTTTTGAGTTTTCCCTGAAGAGTTGATTCCATCAATGCATCACACTTGGTGTCTAGTGGGAATTATTACAGAGATATAGGGTGTTGACAATTGAGATTCTTCAAATGTAGGATTTTTTGTGTCGAAACTATTCATTAATGGTCAAAACGGCTCACATGTTCCTGTCATAACTTTTGATTGGCTATCTACTGATATTTATTTGGAACAGATACAATAAGCTGATCAGTATTCTGAATGTTAACCCACCCTCTATTTGTTCCGATTGAATATCAGTAGATAGTAAATCGAAAGTTTATAAGGATATGTGAGCCGTTTTGACCAATATTGAATAGTTTCCACAAAAAAATCCTAAAATTGAAAAATCTTGTTTTTGAACACCCTATATCTCTGTAATCATTCCCGCTAGACCCCAAGTGTGATGCATTGATGGAATCAGCTCTTCAGGGAGAACCTAAAAATGCAATAGTATACAGGGTGTCCCATTTGGAAAAAAACAATCATCAGTCAATATATCTTGGAATTCGAACACCCTACAGATATATATGAAAACAATTCAATGTGAAAGTTCTCATGGAACCCTCTATTACTGTTGTACTTGAATTTTCTCTATTTATCTGATGGTTTGGCTAATATACAAGGATAACACACTATTGACTCACCTTGTATTATGCGAATGATAATTTCTTCAAAATAATATGGATCTCATGATATTTGCAAAATTTCCCTCTATTTATAATAGGTTCAAATGAAAAACCAAATGAAAAACTTACATTCTATTATTTATAACTTATTCTGAAAAATTTCAATTTCCTTTCCAAAGAAATGTATTTCAGCTCCTTGTTGAACACTACTATAGAAGTTATTGCCTATTGATAGTTATATTTCTCCATGTTGTTTTTGATTTCTGAACTCTGGACATTCCTGATGCAGAATAATCAACTGGAAGTTGAAGCCTTCATGCAATATTTTATAGATTCTGAAGAAGCCAAACTATTTTGGAATGCAAATATCATCAGGTTTGTGTTTTGCATAACCTTCTGAAACAAACAATGTATCAATATTTCATGTCCAGTACTTACTATCAATGATATGATTTATGTAGTTATAGGTACCAACCATTATTGAATCTACTGAAAGTTCAAGTCTGCATATGTACAATCTTTCATAATTTCCAAAGAAGCCAAAATATCTTGGAATAAAATATCTCTGCTCTGATGATATCATCATTTTGTGTTATCAATAACCTCCTGAAACAAATAATGTACCTATTAATATTTCATGTTCCAGTCCCTACTATATCAATGATTCGATTTAGGTACCTACCTTTATTGAATATACTGAAAGTGCAAACATGCATATGCAATCTCACATAGATTTCGAAGAAGCCAAAATATCTTGGAATGAAACATCTCTGCTCTGATGACATCATCAATCTTGTGTTCTCAATAACTTCATCTGAAACAAATAATTAACCTATTAACATTTCATGTCCAGTACCTACTATATCAATGATTTGATTTAGGTACCTACCTTTATTGAATTCATACTGAAAGTTCAAGTTTCCATACAATATTTTATAGATTCCGAAGAAGCAAAGCTATCTTGGAATAAAACATGTTTGCTATGTTGATATCATCAAGTTTGTGTTCTCAATAACCTCCTGAAACAATAAATAATGTATATGAATGTATCAATATTTCATGTCTGGTACTATCAATGATTCTATTTAGTATTTATACTCACCATTGTTTCTTGCTACCTGAGAGAAATGTCATCAACAGAGATTATCATCCTTTTGTTATTGTTATCTTTCAATTCTGTGCAATAAGTTCTTCTCGCAATCATTTTGTGAAATAGAAATTTGATGAAGGTAATCAATGAATACTCTAATAATTTTGATATAATCATTAATATATCATGATTTATGATGTATCTTGAACAAATCATGACTATCATGAGACTATGAGACATAACCTCAATTCTAGTTCTTCTTTTTCTTCCTTTTGTCTTCGATGACACGTTATTTCATGGAATGTCATCTGAAGACGTCCGTAGGCTCGAAATTTTTTACATCCTCAGGCTGTCACTGAAAGAACTCATTTAGGACAATTACAGCGCTAAATTTACGCCTGAAGATGTTCTTAGGTTGTAGAAAATAGAACGTCCTCTCCAGGCGTTTGGCGACACATTGAGGATGACCTTAGGCGAGTGTGTGCTATCTGGGAATGCTTCGAAAGTATCTAGTTTTTCAATCATACTGAATACTTATCACAGATAACCCAGAACTCAACGCACAACTGAAGAATCAGATAATATGAGGATTATCATTGAATATTCACAGCATTTGCTAGATTTGGCTAGTATATAGAGATTTGGAAGGTGATGTCGACAGACGAGGTTGAGGTTAGAATGTTAGGATTTGGTAAATATTATTTCCGATATTCTGATATCCCTGTGAGTTCTCAGAATACACTCTTGATCATTATAAGGAGTCTAAACTAATGAAGTTATCAGGAAGTTTGATAAAAATGGAGCGCAGAATCCATCCAAGCACTGGGAATGGATACCATAATATGATAGACGGACGGGTCTAAGACATCTGAGGAAACTGGAGCATGAATTCTCAGGTAGAACATCATATTGGCTAGAACTTGGTTTCATATTAGCCCAATATTCGAATATTGAATATGGAATTACTAGATTGCACCAATATAAAACCAATTTTTCATTTCAATATTCGATCATCAATCCATTGCCAATATTTTAATAACATTGAAATTTTGTGACCAGCCGATATCAATTTGTCAATATTTATTTGATATTGGAGAAATATTAACGATCACAATATGTCAATTTTCATGATGGGCTGATATTGCATTTCCAATATCAAATCGATCTTGGAAAAAAATATTGACTCAATATCCAATTTATGATGGTTACTGACTATTGCATTCCATTGTCCAGCAATGTTGTAATAACATTGAAATTTTGTTTCCAGCCGATATTTATTCACCAATATCTATTCGATATTGGTGAAATATTGACGATCACAATGTCAATTTCCATGATTGGGCTAATATTGTATTTCCAATATTGAATCAATCATGGAAAAAAATATTGCATCAATATCAGATTTATGATGGTTGGTGAATATTGCTCTTCGTTGTCCAGCAATATTGCACTGATAGTGGTGATTCAATATCATTTCGATATTCAATAATCAATCCAGTGCCAATGTTGTAATAACATTGAAATTTTGTGACCAGCCGATATCAGTTTGCCAATATTTATATGATATTGGCGAAATATTAACGAATACAATATGTCAATTTTCATGATGGGCTGATATTGTATTTCCAATATCGAATCAATCTTGGAAAACATATTGTATTAATATTTCGGATTTTTATTCAGCTAATATTAGTTCATCAATATGCGACCCATTTCAGATAGATATAACTAATGAAATATGCCAGAACCAATATTACACTGACATTGGATTTCTAATATCGAATCGATATTCGTGATATTTCTCTTAGTATTTGAGCTACGTTATAACAGCTGGCGCCACTAGCACGCCTCCAACAAACGACTGCTGAGAGACATCAAATACCGCATTCGTTCAACTTGCAAACTAATTATTCTGGGATACAGGAAACGAAAATGGATTTGATATTGTACAAATATCGCAATTTTTTAATGAGGCTAATATGGCTTCGAAATTTGATTTCGAGTTTTGTTGAAAAACGAAATTCAATATTGGTTGAATATTATAATTCAACATGAAGATAATATTGCAAAATAATCACATCCTCATCTTAGCCAATATAATAGGGGAATATGAATTCAATATCGATTTCACATGTGAAAATTATAAGGAACCAGTTTTCTATAAGTTGGCATCATATATTTGTCCAATCTTGTATACGAATATTAACTCGATATTGGATAGAGCATATCGAAACAAGATTGAAATTCAACATAGCACCAAGATTCCAGAATGTTCACATTGATTTATTGACCCAATAATTAAAATTAATATTTTCCCAACATTCACCATTTATTGACTCAATATTGAACCAATATTAGTATTCTACCTGGGATGATTGGACCTCGCACCAGCAAGCAAAAATTCACGCCATAGAAAGGTGCATTCAGTTCAACTTCGACAGAAAATACCGGAACAAGGAGATCGCTATCCTTC